ATGTAGAGCAAATATTCTGTGGAGCCCGTACTCCTTTCGTCCAAGCTCCTTGTCTATTTGATCGACTTGCGAGCACAACGGCGGTGAGCTACCCGGCGGTGTGTGGTCGGAAAACCCCTTCGACGGTCAAGTTAGCACACACACTTAGAGAGAGAGAGAGAAGCTGAATGAATGCAAGTTTATCTTACCAAATAATGTTCCATCCTCAGCATGGGGGGCGCAGTCGTGCTTATATACTTTCCGCGCTCAGCTCTACACCCATTAGTCTCTTTACACGTGGAGCTGCTCTCTCATCTGTCAGCATAAATCTAGCGAACACCACCTAACCAAACCGCCAGACAACATTAGCGAGAACTCGGTAGCCCGGCGGCATCATCCTGGCCTCCTTCGACCGAGCTACTTAACGAGTCCAACAGTGCCATTTGCCGAGCTCCATCACAACCGAGCTCGGTAGCATTCCAATATGGCCGAGCTCCAGACAGGTTAGGCTGGTCCGTGAGAGACCTTTCTGCCGAGCTACATGCGCGAAAAATAAGCCTGGGTTGACAGACGATCATCTCGGCCGAATGGGCCTTGGACCTCAACCGAGCAATCCACTCTAGTTCAGCCAACGTTAGCTCGGCCCAAACACGCTCGAACCTCTTTTTAGCTCGGTCATTACCACAGCCTAAAGCTAGATTATGAAATCTCCCTTACACCTTCATCTTCATTTTGTTCTTATTTCTCTCTCCATTTCAGGGAAAATCCAATTCTCTCTCTCTCCATCTTGATCTTTTTCTTTTCTCTCTCTTTATTTCAAACTTTATATGTGTACATACATATACATATACAATCTTATCTTCATTTTTTTTTCTCTCTCTCTCTCAATTTCAAACTTTATTCCTTATTCTGTTTCGATTCAGACTTGAGTTTCTTCTTTAACACCTTTACTTGCACTTTGGCAACTTCAAGCTCCACAACGACTTTTGCATAATCAGCAACTTGGGACTCTAATCTTCTATTATTATTTTTTTTAGTCAATAATAATCATCTCTGAATCAACACAGAAAACATGAAAGAAATCAGAAGGCTAATCAAAATACTATTAATTTGAAAGAAATCATGAAAAAAATCCCTAAATCAAAAGCCTAATTTTTTACCTAAAAATAGATTTGAATAAATCATGATTTGAATAAATCAATAATAGATGGCTCTGAAATGGTTGGGGTTATAGATGAAGTTCTCCCCTTCGTTGGAGATCGACAAGCCACCATACGGGAGGAATTTTAGTTCTCTTCAATCAAAAAAAAAAAAAAATAATAAAATAAAATAAAATGGGTTTGGATTTGTATATGAATACAAATATATATATATGTGTGTGTGTGTGTGTGTGTGTGTGTATGAGAGGAATTTCAATTCTCTTCAATCAAAAAAATAAAATAAATTAAAATGGGTTTGGATTTTTATATGTATACAAATATGTGTGTGTGTGTGTGTGTGTGTATATGTATGGAAGGAATTTCAGTTCAAAAAAAAAAAAGAAAAATTAAAATGGGTTTGGATTTTGTATATGTATACAAATATATGTATATATATATGTATATGCACATGATCAAGAAAAATATATATATGTATATATATGTACACATGATCAAAAATGTGTTTGTTCAGAGATGTGTTTGTTAAATTGATCAGAGATGTGTTTGTTCATTCTGTGAGAGATGATGGATATAGGTGGTGGTTTGAGGGGAGGAGAGAGAGAGAGAGAGAAAGAGAGAGAGAGAGAGAGTGAGTGAAAATAGATGAAGAAAAAGAAGGTTGAAAATAGAATGACATCTTTTGTAAATTTGAAGAGGTGGAAAGGGTATTTTCGTCATAAAAACGGACTTACTCCCTATAAAAACGCATGACTTTCACATTTTGTTATATTAGACAGAAAAACTAACTGTGTGTTTTAATCCATTAACCACAAGGGGGGTTATGTGGTGATTTCCGAATGTCAGGGGGTAAACCGCACCCGGCCAAAACCACAAGGGGGTAAAGTAAAGTTTGCCCTTTTAGAAAATACTTTTAAATTAGAGTTTAAAATTAAACATTTGGATGATAAATTCACTTTCAATTTTTTTGTACTAAAAAATTCAAGTGCTAAAATATTATATCAGTTATCCTAGGTAGGCAACCTAAGAGGGGGTGAATTGGGTCATTAAAAAAATTTACAATATTAAAATTAACACAATATTTAGAATTAAAAAAAATAGAATAATAATTATCAATATAAAAGAAAGAGAGATAGAGAGAGAAAATCAAATATTAAGATTTATAGTGGTTTAGCACGACAGGCCTACGTCCACTTTCCAAGGAACCTCTTTGAGAATTTCTTTACTATCAACTGAATAAATGCACAACCAAACTTGTGGATTTGGCACATAACTTACTCTTATCTATTGGGCCTCACTCAACAATAAATGCCTTATCCTTACAAAATCTCTCATAAAAATAATGAATAAAAATAAGTGATACTTAAACCATTTTTTACAATAATTCTCTCACAAAGAGTAGATATGAAAGTGTAAGAACAAAGATTACACTTAGATCTGAAAGTAAAATAGCATAATACAATATACTCAAAATTTTAGAGCATATAGAAATTTTTCTCTTCAAGTTCTTGATTTTTTTCCACACACAACACTTCTATTTATACCAAAAAATATACATGTTGGAAGTACAATGCTCCTTGCTGACGTCATGGATTACATGGGCAAGCTCCTTGATTCAAATAGACAACAAATGATAATGTTTGAAAAAATGATAAAAGTAAAACTATCTTTTTTCTTTTTCTTTTTTTGTTTTTTCAAACATGGAGCCACCGTTTGAAAGCAAATTGAATAATATAATACAATTATCACATCTTTGAATTCAAATAAGCAAATGATTTTGCTCCATCATTATGGGTTCCTTGAAGTCAAAAGTTACATGAAAATTGTGTCTATTTTGTAACTTTTTCTTTTTCTTTTTCTTTTTGCAAGCAAATTTAAACCAACTTACAATTTTTTCTTTTTCATTCTACAGGCAAAACATCTTCAAGGATTTGTTTAGAATAAAAAATTAAATAAGTCTTCTCCTGCAATTATTATAGTATATCAATTTCAAAATTTTAACTATATATATATATTGATATAATAAAAAATACTCAAGTTTGAATTTGTGTGGTGCATCACTAATAAATATATATATATATATATATGTAAAAAGTGTATCACATGACACCGTCCGCACCCCATACTTATAATTAATATATTATAAACAACATAAAAGTAATCTATATAATAAAGCACAAAGGTTTTTGAAAAATGTATCAAAATGTATGTGAGATACATTTTGATCCAATGACCAAGATCAGTTCTAAGAATATATTAATGGTACAGATCATAATAAAGGACAATGTGATTCCCGCTTAAACATCTCTCCCTTAGCCTTCCACCTACCCACGTCTCTCTCTCTCTCTTTCTCCCACTCTGTTCTCAGCCACGTCTTCTCCCCATTTCCTCTTTACCTCTCTCGCCCTCTCTGATCTTCTTCTTCCCTCTTCATACTGACGCTGCTCACTCCTCCCCTTACAACCCTTCCTCATCGCTCGGCTTGCAAGGTAAGATTTCCTCGATTTCTATCTCTCCACTCTCCCTCTGTTTCGATTTCTTTTTCCCTGTTCGATGCTTTGGCGCTGCTCTCGAACTCTCTCTCTATCGGGTGAAGGAGATTTCACATTTGTGATCGATTTAGTGAGATGTATGATTGTTGTTGATAGATTTATCGGAGAGTGACTCCGAACCACCAGAAAAGATAGAGAAATCAAAAGAATGGTGATGATGGCTGCTACCGCCATGGAGGGTGCGGCCTCGACGGCTCTGCGAGCGGTGCTCCACCGAGTCCGCCAGGCTACTGAGAGATCAGGCCGCATAGCCGATGATGTGAGGGTGGTTGCAGTGAGCAAAACCAAGCCCATCTCTCTCATCCGCCAAGTCTACGACTCTGGTCATCACTGTTTCGGCGAGAACTATGTCCAAGAGATCATCGAAAAAGCACCTCAGGTTCTCTCTCTCTCTCTCTCTCTCTCTTCCTGAGGACATTGAGTGGCATTTTGTTGGGCATTTGCAGAGCAATAAAGTGAAATCACTTTTGGGTGTGGATCTCTTTTGATTGTTCAGTTAACATTCTTTTCATTATGTTTGGAGTTTCTATTATAAATTATCATTGTTGCAAGATTATTGAATTATTATTCCCTCAAATCAAATGTGTGGAACTTTTCTTGATTCTTCATCAAAGTAAGGAATCTTGATTTTATGATTTCTGAATTATTGCTCCCCTGAATAATGCGCAAGTTAGTTGCTACTAATTGTTTGAATACATAACTAAAACCTCGAACTCTCTCTCTATCGTGAATGAATTTCTTGAATCCGTAAGTGTAACTCCCACAGCTTCTGTGGTAGATTGGGGTAAATAGGTATTTAATCAGTGGAACATATTTTTATATCCTATTTTTGTCATTCAATTTTAGCTTCTGTGATAGATTGGGGAAAATAGGTATTTAATCGTTTGGTTGATATTGAAGCAGTTTTTACTTCTTCATCCCCACCCCCTGGCAGACATGCAGTGAGTTGCATATTTCACTAATCATAGAAAACATGGTTTGGCTACCATTGTGAATATAGTTTGCATGTGTAATTTTCTTTGTATTATATTCTTGATTTGTTGAGTTATATATGAGTGTCTCACATGTATTTTTTATAGTGTTCTTAATATAAGTTTGTATCTGATTTGTATTTCAGGATGATCTTTTTACGTCCTTGATTTTCCTTTGTAACAGCCAAAGATTGCGTCCCACAATTCACGACATTATCACTGGCAAGATCAAAGGTTATGCAGAGCACTTTAGTTGCTGAAGGGCTGGCATTGGTCAGGCTGCATTATTTGAAAGGGCATTTGGAGAGCTACCAGTTGCCAATTGGCTGGAATATCATTGGATGCTGGAACGCTATTGGAGAGCGACAGAATATGAGTGTCTCACAGAGCTACTATTTGGAGAGCGACAGAATGGAATATCATTGGCTGGAACGCTATTAGCTGTCAGCCCTGTCTCACCTGTGATGGCTCTCATTGGAACAACACAGGCTGTAGCAAAGGAACTTCTTAATTCGATTTTGGATGCTGTTGTTCGGATATTCGGTGAGATATAATTATGTAATACTTAGTTTTGGGTATTCTTTTCCCTTTGGTTGAATTTAAGTTTGACCATATAAATGTTCAGAGAAACATGTTATTGTTGGAGAGCTTCTAGAATCAAAATCCTCACAACAAAGTGACATGAACACACCAAAGTCAATGGCAGAGATAAATTGGAACCCTGATTCTGATGCATCTCATGATACTGGAGGCTACAGTATCGGCTTTTCATTGACAGTATTGGCTATAGTGTTCTTAATATAAGTTTCTTAATATAATCTGATTTGAATCGAATGAATGCAGATAATGTTACATGTAATCTCATTTGTTATCTTATTTTCTCACTTGAGACCCAATTACTGTGTTTAGAGATGAGAAAATACGATAAGAAATCTATATAATAAAGCACAAAGGTTTTTGAAAAATGTATCAAAATGTATGTGAGATACATTTTGATCCAATGGTTTAAATTGTCTCATCTCAACTTCAATGGTTGAGATGTCTTTATTTCCCGCCCAAATGCTCTTTGAGCATCAACCGAGATCTAACGGTCCAAAATGTAAATTGAAGAGAATCTCTCATCTTTGATTCAACAAACCATTATACTTCTATAATTAGGTCTCTATACGAGTCGGAAGATCTAAGAACACACACACATGGATAACATATTAGTCAAAAACAAGAACAATCTAAGCCAAGAGTTATTAGAGTTATTAGTATACTGGTATAGAGTTATTAGTATACTGGTATAAGACAGTCATGTCCTAAAATATTAGCCAAAAACAAGCTAAGCTTCTATATAATCCTTGAAGCATATTGATATTAACTACCCCTGTTTGGCTCCCATTTTTTTGGTATTTTTCTTCTGTTTTTAATTTTAGTAAATTTTATATGCAAACATATATATAGGTTGCTAATATAACAGGTATGGATCCAAATTCATTAAAGAACTTAAATAACATCTACATTTCAAGCTCCGACTTGATCATCCCAAATAGATAGATATCTTTTATCTATCTATTCTGCATTTATACTTGATCATCCATAATAAATCTGTGTATACTACATTTATATCTGCAGTATACTTGATCATCCATATTCTGCATTTATATCTGTGTATACTACAATTTCTGGAGGGATTGTAAGACTGATACACATATAGCACTTTGTACAAACTTCATTTCCTTCCATCATCAATCTACTTAGTGACAAGTAACAAAGGGTGTAATAGAGATTTGATTTTTTATTTAACATCTTTTCCCCTCCCCTTATTAGACTACATTTTCATGTCCTAATTTCAATCTGACATCATAATAAATATATGGATACCAAATTGGTAATAGTAAATATTCACACTCACTTTTTTGTCTAATAGATATTCATTTTCCTACCTCAACAAAAAGAAAAGATGTTGTCAAAAAAATAAAAAAATAAAAAGCAAATTGGCTGTTAACACTAAAATGTAGAGCACATATGTAGAGCACTAAAATATACTACATTTGAATATAGATTTAGATATTCTACACCGTGCCTTTAACAGCCAATTTGCTTTAGTGCTCTACATTTTAGTATGTAGAGCACTTACTGATGTGCTTTAGTGCTCTACATTTTAAATGTGAAATAGATATTCTTCTCTTTCTATTCACGTTTATGTATTTGCTATATTAGGATTTCATGCTTTAGGATCGTGTTTTGTGAAATGTGATTCGAGGTTTTTGCAAATAGGGCGAGTGATAAGTGTCAGAAAGAGAAGAGGAAGACGATCAATGGTGATGATTTGCTTTGTGCAATGGCTACTTTTGGGTTTGAAGATTACATTGCTTCGCTTTAAGTGTATCTAACTAGGTACCGGGAGGTATAATTGTCTCTATCTTTGATTTTGTATTGGTTCTGCATATGTTTAGAATCATGATTTCTAAAAATTTTAAGAACTCAATTCTCTGAAGCCATTTATTGTAATAGCCACTGTCGGCCGGAGGTTTTGTTTGTTTAATTTTCTCTGCAATTGAACCAAGGATTAGCTTATATTCTTATCTGATTTTCTGTTACTTTGCATAATCATTAGAATTTAAACTGACACCATTTTTTTTTTCTTTTCTATTTTGCTCGGTTGATTTTGGGAAATAATTGTGGTTTCTCAGTTGGAGGTATTTGAGCCAATTTCTTGCCGGAATTACTATTGTTCCTTATTTTGTTCATTACTAATTCAGGCAATAAGTTGTAATTTTTTGACATAGTGACCCAAAAGGATCTGCTAGCGGAGGTGATCGATCCTCTAAAAGAGATATAGTTGGTGCTCAGATTGATCCAAATGCATTGGTAAGGCAGCAAATAGCCTCTTTTTTATTTTTCCACATGAGTGTGTAAGTTTAAATGTAATTGTCCTTTTGATCCGGTGGAATGAACTTCAAATAACAATTTCATTTTGTTGTCTTCTGTTTGCATCTGTGGTGGATAAATTTGGCAATTTGCTCATCAACAGTCCTTCACACAAGGCATGAACTATTTGAATTCCGAAGTGTGAATTCCAAGTAAGTCTGTTTGTGTCTGTGTGATTAGCCTAATCCAAATGTAATTCTTGCTAAGTGAGCATCAACTTAGAAGTGGAGCAATTATGTGGAGATTTTTGGATACCCATGGGAGGTCACATTTTACATTACCATTTCACGCATTTCCAGCCCTCCCCACTTAAACAGTAAAGAAAATAATCAGGGAACCTCTTCATAGTGGCCCTCTAACTTCATGTTAAATTGCTTGCTTTGAATTTTCTCATTATCCACTGACCCACTAATAACTTATCAGAGTAGCAAAGGTTTGTAATTATATGATTTTTATCATATTTGTTTTAAAAAAAAAAAGTGATAAGCATAATTTTATAATAGACTCTTCATTTCTTAACGATAAACATGATGAAATTAATTAACTTATTTTATCAAATTCAAACCAGTGGTAAACCCTACTAATCAGATTACGCCTATCCAGTTAATACCAGGACTGAAGTGAGCTGCTATGGGTGTAATTTTGTGTTGTGACCTTGAAGGAACATCTTAAATAATTGATTATTAGGCATATACAATTATGTCATATTTTATCAAATTGAAACCAGTGGTAAACCCTACAAATCAAATTACACCTTTCCAGTTAATACCATGACTGAAGTGAGCTGCTATGGGTGTAATTTTGTGTTGTTACCTTCAAGGAACATCTCAAATAATTGGTTGTTATGCAGATACAATTGTGTCATATGGCTTGCTTGCATAATGTTTAAAGGGCCACCACTTTCATGGTCCCAAATTGAGAGCTTAACTCAGAAATTTTATATTTTTATCATTGAACAAAATTGTTTTCATTATCTAGAACAAAATTATTTTGTTTTCATAATTTATGTATGCTTGACAGATTTGATTCAATATCTACAGATTTTATTTCCATACAATGTATGTATGGTCGACAAATTATTTAGTATAGAGCATAAATTTTTTTTCTTAATAGTCTCTACCATTTCTACATCAAAAAACTACTCTCTTGATAGTATGGTCGACCATACATACATCCAAAAACTAGAGTGAATTTGTTTTTTAACATCAAAATAACTGTCAAAAATAAAAATTTGACCTAATTCTGTTGTATGTGTATTTTTTATTTTTATTTATTTATTTATTTTTGTTCTAATTTTGTTTCCACATTATGTCATTTAGTTTTCACTACTCATGAATTGCAATGTGCGACATGGAAATTGCTCTCATTGTTGTCATTATTATTGTTTTATTTCATTTCAAGTGTCATCTTTCAATCGCAATCTGAATTCTGCAAAGTTTCAATCAAGCATTTTTGGTACTGTTGTTCCTGGTAAGCCATTTTCCTTATAGTTGAGTAATCCACTGTTTCCTCTTTGTGCAGTTGATATTGATGTTATTTAGACTCTTTCCATTGTTATTTTGATGTCCTAAAATGCTTAACAAAGCCAAGATAGTTAGGTTTGTGTGAATGCATTTAACAGAGGGACAACGTTGAAACTTAGTTGGCATTTTCTTCAGAGCAAATGTTTCATTGAAGTCCACTCCAAGTTGTTGTGAGTAGCCTTTTGCAACTAAACGAGCCTTATGCTTCTAGATTGAGCAATCTTCTTTATATTTGGTCTTGTAGACCCATTTAAGTCCGATCACATCTTTTTTTGGGGGTAGATCAACAGGATCCCAAGTGTAATTCTTTTCAATAGTTGCAATTTCTTCATCTATTACCTTTCTCCAAATTTCTTCTGTTATAGCTTCTTAAAAAATCTGTGGCTCACAAGCAAAAAATGCTACATCACAAGTTTCATATATTCCTCTTAAAGAGCGTACCTTTCTTGGTATCGTTTCAGATTCTTTAAATGAAAGGCTTCTTGGAGAGTCATTTCTTGTAATATGCCCCTGATGTTTGTAAAATATTCTCACTCTCTCTATGGGAGCTTGCATTTTAAGATTAGTATCCAGAGTTTGGTAATGAGGTGTGGTGTTGCCTTTGAGTCAAACTTGGTTCTAAATCATGACACAATGCAATTATACAATTGGATTTGTTGATTGGGATTTTATTTTATTTATTTATTTTTATTTTTTGTCAGTCAAACTTGGTTCTTATGTAGTTATAATTTGATTAGCAGCAGTAGCACTAACTGGTGTGCATTTAAGTTTTAATTTCTTTTAAATTGCAGAGCACTGGCTGGTGTGCATTATTTGATATTTTAATTTTTTTATATTTGATTTGTTTGGAATTGTAGAGTACAGTCTGTTAAATATATTTTTATAACCGCATTTTAATCTTAATATTATTTACACCGTGCCTTTAGGCACGGGCATACGCTAGTCTATATAATAAGGGAAGAGGGTTTTTGAATTTGTCTTAGAGACAATTGTCCTATTAGGACATTTTAATGGTCAGGATTCATTTTAATGGACGGCTGAGATGACCTTTAACTTTAATTTGTCACCCACGTTCTCTCTTTGCCAACCCAAGACAAAGGCTTACAAACCACAGTTTCATCTCATCATCATCAGGCATCAGTAGCCCCATTCACTACCCCACGAAGCAACGCAACCTTCGGCAACGTTGCATGAGAGGGCAAACATCGGATGTTTGTTCTCTCTCTCTTCAAACTTCTCAGGTCTCAAACTCTCTCCACAGCCGCGCCGCTTTACGTCGCCTCCATCACTACGTCACCTCCATCACTGCGTTACCTCCGATCTCCACCGACAGCATCTCTTCATCTCTTCTCCCGCCACAGC